TGCGGAGCGGAGTAAGACAAACATCCTTCGACGTTGGCGTCAGCAGTAATCCTCTTTCTAAAAGATTATCCTTATCCACGATAGTTCGACATTTGCTTCCGCCTTCGGTACCACTCCCACTTCGGCGTTTGTATGCTTTGTGTGCTTTGCGCACCTAAAAGAAGACATTTAGCATAATACAGAATCATAGATATATGCGCTCACCAAAACTCTAACCAGATCTCTAATGACGACAAAAGCGAGAATGACGATGAGGTAGTAGAGCTGCGGCGGCACATTCCATTCCGGCCAGTAACTCTGGAAGTTTTAATATCTGCTTGTGCTGAGCACTGCATGAGACGCACCTTTTTGTCAGTCCCTTTATACAAATACTGCGCATTCGCACAGCCAGACTTCCACGACCAAATCTCAGTACTGATAACTGCATTCCTCATACCAGAACATAATTCCATAAGGAAAATGCTTCTACAATACATACCGAGAGTAGACGTAGACTACTGTTGTATTAGTTGAGGGAGAGAAACAAAAAAACGGAGCAGTAAAAGAATGGTCAAGTACATGAATAGAATCTTCAGTGACACGACAGTGAGAATTTCCACCAAGTCTTATCGCAGCGTCATGCTCTGATTTTCCAGTTATGTAAATAACAAGATTATAGAAATAAAACTTAAATCGAATCGTTACCGTCCAAAGCATGCCGTAAAGATAATTGCGCACCTCCGCAACTACGTATTACATCGTATTTCACGCCTAAAACTAAAATTTTACGTACTTTTTGTTACCGCGATCGAGAACAACTTAGTCGCTCCTAAAATGCTGAAACTATTTCAAAAGCATTTCCGAAATCGAGTTTCAGTGAACAAAATGATCGAATTGAAAAGAAAGTTTGGGACTTAGATGTTTCAGAATTTGCTCTCTCCAGTATCAATAACAGTTTTGCTCAAACAAATCATGAAACTGGGTTTTGAAACAAATTTCAGAGACTGGAGTTCACTGGAGTATTCTCTTTTGTGGCAGGTGCAATAATTAGGTGAGGGTTTTGACCTTGAGCACACGCCTTTTACGAAAAAGGTAAGGTTTGCAGAATGACCGAACAAAAACAACAAGAAAAACATCGAAAAAAGCACTCACTAAGATGTAGT